GCCCTTGATGCTGCAACTGTGACTTACGATGGTGAAAGAAAGCTGTTCGCACTATTGGCATAGCCCAGCCCAATGGATCACTATTGGCATAGCCCAGCCCAATGGATCACTATTGGCATAGCCCAGCCCACGATGTTGCGGAAATTTGGATCTCCGCCGGTTGCCTTTCGCAGTGTCCAGAGAGGAAAAGAAGGTCGCCCGCTCCCCCTCTCGAAGCCTGCGGAAGGGGTCCAGACGCTCACCCTCTTGAAGTTTGTGACGCCAGAGGGAGCCGGAGCAGCTGGTGTGACCTCACTCGCAGACCCTCGCGAATGTGCCTGCGAAACAGAAGAGCGCTCGTTTAGTCTACTTTGTAACACACACTCTAGGTAAAGGCTATCGGAATGCGGAAGTACGGGATTCGAAGATAGACCACCCGAGGTACAGTTTTTTGAAACGTCCGAAAGTATATGGATTGCACGTGTTGCAGTGGATCAGTAGCGGAACGAAACACGCTACCCGCTGTCCATGACGGATGAACGAGTTAAAAACACCTCCTAACGCTGTCAACTCTCACAGCTCACACCTAACGCTTCTCCGCTTACAGGCACATTGCCGTCTAGCCAAGCAGGAGTGAAGCCGGTGGCCGGCCTGGCGGCAGCATTGCCGGTCGCGACGGCGACGGCCGACTGACACGCTTCCAGCAGGCGAGATCGCGAACGCGAGATCGCGCGGGACAACATCTCGAATCGTGATGCACTTGTCTTTGCGTAAAAACTCTTCAAGCAATCTTGAAGCAAGATCTACGCGTTCTGGCTAAGTTCCTTGGCGTTCTTGGCTTGGAACGCGCAAGGTGAGTTAGGACAGCTCCACTGAACCGTGGACCTGACGCGGAACGAGCAGAAACCAAAACCAGGAGATCTCGTCCTGCTAGCTAAAAACGCAAACTCTTCTTTGCATAGTTTGCGGCAGGATGGTTGGCACAGTATGTTCCCCATAATCCTTGGGTTTGGTTCGGGATGGTTGAGGTGAGACAGGAGGAGAGACAACTTCAAAGTTTAGCTTGGTCGGTGCAGCTGGCTAGCTCGTGGTGCTGTACGGTGGAAGTGAAACTGCCTTCTGGCACCGAGAATATCCCAGCAAGGAGGGCAAGCAACAGCCAAGTCTGGTTTGGCGAAGCATCTGGGATTTTCGTTACAGCTCTGTTACGGTGCGAAGACGAAAAAGCCCAGCAACGGGACGAATCTCCACCACATCATATGGCACGTCACACACAGCCAATCGCAGGGCCACGAGTTTCAGAAGCAGGGGAGATTTGAGGACAATATCCCAGAATCTCGGACACGGTCACCAGGGCATGCTGGCGCTGCTCGTTGACGTGGCTGGACAAGTTTGAAGCCAACGGCCTCAAGAAAGTCTCTGCAAGCATGACCCCAGCAGCCAGTCACCATGGCGTAACACCCGTTAAAAACAAAAACTCAAGGCATAGTAATTCTAGTGAATGTGTGGGTAGTTTCGGGCGTATGGATAGCTTGTCGCCATGGATGTTGACGCTGCACCTGATGACTCCAATGTCGTGCTTTAAAACACCTGATCAGCCTCTAGATAATACCAATGGATTCCTTTCATCAAGCTCTACACAGCTAACCACAAATTGTATTCAAACGATCAACATTGGAAGGTTGTTATTGAGTTCTAGGAACTCCAAGGTCGGAGGACACTATCAAGGGGTGGATATCAACAAGGGCTTACATCAGCAAGCAACATCAGTGCAGCCAATCGCGACGGCAAATCAAACTCATTCTGGATTCAGCAAAGCTGCCTTATCAGAGCAGCATATACTATGGCAATGGCAAAAGAAGAGACTGGAGTTAGACAGAGGGAGTTATCTGCCATTCATTGACAATCTTTCTCCACTCATCATTGTACGATGCCTCTCAAAGCCAAAGCTAAGGGTGCCACCAAGCGGGCCTCCGCGGCTGATTACGATGATGAGGCTCTGGCTATGGATCCTGCTGTGGGACAAGGGAGCGGAAGATTGAAGTTTCGTTCAACACGCTGGAGTCGTCGGGACCGTTTCCAGAAGATTGCAACGCTTCGATGGCATCGACCTCCGCGAGTCAGACGCTGGAGTAGGAATTCGTGGAGGCGGAACTGGATCCGGTTGGTTCGGACAGGTTGAAGGAATACAAGGATTCGGATGATGAAGATGAAGATGAAGATGAAGATGATGGTTATGTCACGGATTATTCCGAGGAAGGATTGGATCCAGAGCAGAAGGGAGAGGTTGCTTCGCTTGTCAATTTCTCGCTGACTCTCCTCATTCCTTACAGCTTGGTCAAGGAGTTGACGCTGATTCAGTCGTCGGTCAGTGATATTTTGGAGTACAAGAAGAACTTCGCTCCTGGAGTTTTGGACTCGACTAAGTGTCAGCAGCTCCCACCGATGTACTTCTCCAAAGTGTGCTATGGCAGGCTCCATGTCACTTTCTTGAACGTGAAGGACGCTAATAGGATATGGAGGGAGAAGATCGAGTATACATGCTTGGATGGGAAGCGCGTGATTCTCGGCTGGCAGCACCCGCAGAACCCTGCTTACCTGCGTGCGAGGCTGGCGGACACGACGACGATTGAAGTACTGCTGAAAGGGATTCCGACTGCGATTCCTCCTGAGATGCTGAGGAAGCTGATAGTGGATACGAAGCTGGTGAAGCGTGGTCGGTCTGCGTAATTGAAGGGGAGCTATTTTCACAGGATGGTGGACCCGCTTATCGGCATGGACATTGACAAGGTTAAGGGTTTGGTCAGGTCGCACCCGGACGATAAGTACCGACCGAGGAATGTGACTGATGATCTGCTGAACCCTGGAAAGTCTTTCTTGATTCATTTCATGAAGCTAACCTGTGGTGTGTGCAAGGGGTTTCACCTTGAGAAGGCGCATGATGATTATGTCCAAGACTGGCAGATTAACATCAGCAAATGGAGTCTGAATGTGGGGAGGGTGCACATGATCAATGGTAATGGCTGTCGAGTTTCTTCGCTTTTCTGCAGCTGCTACCATTGTTTACTTACTGGTTCACTTACGAGTGGTACCTGGCTTCTGGGATCAGCGATCTTGCTAAAGTCAGCAGGATTGGTAAAGAAGATTCTCAAGGATCCATCGTTGGTCCTCATTCCAACCGGGAGCGACCGTGAAGCCTGGATCTGTTGTCAATAAGTGTTTGGGAAGGCGCATAGAACTTCTTTCAAGGAAGCAGCAGATCATATCAAGGAACGACGTCATGGGTCCCAGATCAGCAAGCAGAGTGTGTCGTCACGCTCCAACAAAGAGAAGATGAGCCTGGCTATGCTGAAGAAGGAGTACAAGATAGAAGGGTAGTCTGCTGCTGTACTGGGGAACAGAAGAGAAGACGTGTGCTCCTGAGGATAGCGATAGCTGTAGTGGAGATGCGAGTCCTCACCTGATGGATGTACTGCTGTCTTGCTGCTGGAGTGTGTCGCAACCGCCGTTGAGTCAATGGTCGTGCTCTGTCTGGCCTGTGGATGCTTGGGGGTCAAGGAAGAAGTGATTTAATGGATAGAACCACCAACCACTCCGTCTGCGAATGCAACGTTAACGGGGTAGGAAGCAGAGGGAAGCAGGACAAAGTTAGATATTGGGTCAACAAGGCAGCGGATATAGTTGTGCTAGTGGACACTAGGATAAAGGAGGACCACAATTGTTGGTCCGAGTTAAAGTCGAAGGGATTTGTCACGGTATCACCGGAGCAGAAAGCTGGTGGTGTGGCGATTCTCAGTTTCAAGGAAGGTCTCGTGTTCTCTGACGTTGAGAAGCATATGTCGGGAAGGCTGCTGAGAGTGAAACTCCGGTGGAACGAGCAGGGCGTGGTGCTGATCGCGGTGTATTTACCTGTGCAAGCACACAAGAGGGGTGTCTTCCAGACAAAGGTGTTGGGGCCGTTTGAAGCAGCCTTACCGAAAGCGGATCATCAGCTGCTTCTGGGGGATCTGAATATGGTGGAGAACCCTGACATTGACAAGTCTTCTGGATTGGGGTCGGCAGGGGGGAATATAAGGTTGATGTAGTCCCTAACGCGCTACGACATGTGCGATGCTTTCAGGATGCTCAATCCAAGGAAAAAGGAGTTCACATTTTTCTCTAAGTCAGCGAGGGTGAGCTCGAGGATTGACAGGGGGTTGGTCTCGCACTCACTTCTTCACTTGTTGGCGGCTGTGAGGCACATACTGATCCCGAAAGGGGTCTCAGACCATTGGTTTGGGGTGAAGTTATTCCTCAGATCCAGGTCGCAAGGAGGATGCGGTCCTGGTCTTTGGTGGTTACATGCATCCCAAGCGGATCGACAAGGGTCCGGTCGATTACGGAAGCAGTTGTGGAGAGTCATGATGCAGATGGGTCGCGGGACTTCGACCGACGGACTTGCAGGCTTAGTGCAGGACTTAGAACATACACCAGAGAGGAGGGGAAGAGGATCAAGGTGACGATACGGCACGTTGAGCAGAAAGTGGCAAGGTTGCGTCAGGCGGTGATGTTGAATCCGGACTGCCTCGCCTCGCAAGGTCTCCTGACGCAACAGGAGGCGTTGCTGCTGGCGTACTAGGATAGCGGCAGGGATCGGCTGCAGTTGATGGCAGGGGTAAAGGAGGAGCTTGATAGGGAGGTACCGTCAGGTTACCCGTCGGCAAAGATTAAGCTTAGGTAGACATGAGCAATGAGGCGAGGATTTCCTCGCCTCGGAAATCATCGCCTCGAAATTTCAAGGGTCGAGGCAGGTTTTCTGGGAAAAATCCTCGCGAGGATTCCTCGCCCCGCCTCGGCGAGGATTCGAGGCCTCGATTTTTCCTCGAGGCAAATGGGCGAGGATTCTTTCCTCGCGTCATTTTGGTGACAGCGCGCCTGGAGGCGCTGGTACAAACACAAATTTCGGGACTGAGCTGATTCATTATTTTTGGATCAGCCAAGTTCTGTAATTTCGTATTAGGCTTACCAATAGCCTTGCTGGTCCCATTTCGCCCAATGCCACCGTTCTAAACAGCTTAAACAAATAGCAACGGGTGGGGTAAAAGAACCCCCGTTGTAGGAGGGGGGAGAGAAAAACGCATTGTAGATTGCACGGAGTTTTTAGGCGGCGGGGGGGCTGTCATTAGGGATAGAGGGCCTAACTAAGAACAGTAGCGGTTCTTACTTAGTGTGCCGAGCCCGCTGATAGCATGGGCGGCCGTGCTCCACGTGGCGGAGGTGGTGGGAGAAGGGGGCGCGGTAATGGTGCCCGCGGTGCCCAAGGGAGAGGCGGCAGGGGAAGGGGCGAGGAGGAAACTCGCGCAATGACGGCGACCGAGGCGAGGCACTTTAAAGCCATTGCAGCCGCGGCCGAGGCGAAGAAGGTGGGTGAGGCCGCGCGCGAGAACGCTGGGGGGAAGGGCAACGATGCAGGGCACGGTGATGGCGCCATCCGCGGAGTCTCTAAGGGGAGGGCAAGGGGGGGAGGCGGCCAGCATGCGGGCGAGGGAGACGAAGAGGAGGAGAAGGGGGAGGAGGAGGTTGAAGAGGCGGAGGAGGAGGGCAAAGAGGAAGAGGAGGAGAAGGAGCTCGAGTGTATGGAGGGTATGGGGAGGTGGAGGGCCGAGGGCTTGCACGAGGAAGGAGTGGGGGAGGAGGAGGAGGAGGAGGAGGAGGAGGAGGAGGAGGAGGAGGAGGAGGAGGAGGAGGAGGAGGAGGAGGAGGAGGAGGAGGAGGAGGAGGAGGAGGAGGAGGAGGAGGAGGAGGGGGAGGGGGAGGGGAGGGGGAGGGGGAGGAGGAGGAGGAGGAGGAGGAGGAGGAGGAGGAGGAGGAGGAGGAGGAGGAGGAGGAGGAGGAGGAGGAGGGGGAGGGGGAGGGGGAGGGGGAGGAGGAGGAGGACGACGACGACGACGAGTGGGGGGAGGAGAAGGGGGAGGAGGAGCAGGAGGAGAGGTCTGGCGACAACACCGAAGAAGACATGTACGATGCGGGGGAGGGGGAACCCGCCGAGCATGACGACGACATGGCGGACCTTGTGGAGGAGGGTGAGGACTCGGTGCTTGGTGCCCTTGGGGGGGGGGGGCACTCCCTTTAGCAAGGTGATGCTGAAGGCCATTAAAAAGGAAAAGGGTGAGGGCAGCGGTAGGGGAAACAAGGTACAAGGCTCAGCCGGGCAAGGCAGGGAAGTACAGACCCCGAGGGGGGCGGGAGGGGGGAGGACTGGCGGAGGAAGGGGGAACACAGGCGGGGGAGGAGGGGGAGGGGGTCGGACTGGAGGAGGAGGAGGAGGGCGGACTGGCATGGGAGGGTGGCAGGCTGGCGGGGGAAGGGGGAGGGCTGGCAGCATTGGAGGCGGGGGACTGGCAGCGGTGGGGCAGTGGAGGAGGGGGGAGAGGGGAGAACTGGGAACAAGAAGCCAGGGAAGCCAGTGAAGGGAGACGGCATGGCGGCAAGATGCTTTGAGCGTCAGTCTGGGCTTGGGAACAAACGGCGTTGCAGGAAGTGTAGTATGGCCATCTGCTGGGCCCACAGCTCCACCAACTCGGGAAGGGATCACATGAAGAACAAACATCGCGCCCATTGGGATATTTGGTCGCTCAAATGGGATGCCCGAGAGATAGGCGGGGACGAGGTGTTCCCCGAGGGTGGATTTGGGGAGGGGGGGGGAGTGCCGGATGGGAAAAACGTGTGGCCTGACGCGGCTTGGTGGCCGGGGGACCCCCCACAGGAGGGGGGTGGACAAGGAGGGCAGCAGAGTATTAAGAGGTTCCTGTCTCATCGATTGGACGAGGAGTACCTACGCCAGACGATAGTAGAGTACATCGTCGACTCTGATTCTGCCTTCAGCACCACTGATCACCCAACTGTAAGACCCTTGCCTCTTCCCGTTGCGGTTTTTTTGACAAATTTTCAGCCACATGCCGCCCATGTCGTTTCTGCGTTGCACGGTCAGTCATGTCATGCTGTAAAATCCAATGCCTACCAACACCAATGCCATGATGTGCCACTCCCTCCATCACCCCGCCGGACAGTTTCGCCGCATGATGGCAGCGGCTAACCTTCAGTGTGCCACCCCTGGTGTCGTTCCTGGGCGGCACACTGTGGGCCGTGATTGCATCCGTCTAGAGGATCTGGCACGCGCAGTTCTCAAGGACGAGCTCTCAATGTCCAGGGGCATGGGCAAGGTCAGCTTGACCACAGACATCTGGACGGGTGAGAACAACCGTGGTTACATGGCGGTTACAGCCCACTGGATGACGGCAGAGTTCGAGCTCTGCCAGGGACTGCTAGAGTTCATAGCACTACCGCCGAGCCACACAGCGCCTGTAGTGGCTCAGGTGCTGGAGGCAATGGTGCGGGATTGGGGGTTGACCGGGCGATGCATGGCTGTGACTACCGATAACGCCGCCACCAACACCACGGCCATGAGGTGGCTGTCCCGCGGCGAGAGCAGCGACAGAGTCCCGCCGCTCTTCCAGACCGGGCTCCACATCTGGTGAGTGTATACTGTTTTTGTCACTGGAGGCCCAACCTTGCTCAGAAGCAACCGAGTGCACACAGCTTGCATGTGCAAGCTATGCCATGCAATGCCACAAGCCACCTACCATACCATGCCGTGCCATGCCACATGCCATATGCCACATGCCGCATGCCATGCCATGCTGCCATGCCGTCGCGTGCCATTCCATGCCATATGCCATCCCATGCCACATGCCATGCCGTGCCATATGCCACTGCTAACCCGAGCATGCCTTCCGCACATCCCCCCTGTCCCTCCACCAGTTGTCTCGCCCACATCTGCAACATTGCTGTACAGCAAGCGTTGAAGAAGGTGGAGGCTCTGAAGCTGCCGCTGGGGCTGCTGCGTGAGAACGCCAGCTTCATCGGCTATTCCACCAAGCAGACCCCGCTATTCGAGGACGAACAGCGGCGCCTTTTCCCTGACAGGCCGGTCATGAAATTGAAGCAGGACATGGAGGTGCGCTAGGGATCGACCTACCAGATGGTCGTGCGTGGGATCCGACTGCGCGATGCTCTTGACTCCTTTGCGCGTCGCTTCCCGGTGAGTCCATTGGTCACACGCGTGCTAATTGAATGCCAGGTGGGTGTGACAGTGTTATTGCCCTCGTCCCCACCCCACTTGACATGTCCCGCCCCTCAGCATTGTACATACCCCAGGCGTCCCAACACCAACTTCAGCCACCCACCCATCCACGCTCTCATGTGTCTAACCCTATAAATAACCTCCTACTCCCAACTCCAACATCAGGAGGCTCGCCAGGCCCAGCTTCGCATCTCGCCCGAGCAGTGGGTCGTGCTTGAGGAAGTTGCAGTTTTCATCAAGCCTTTCAACTTGGTGACGCTGTCGGCGGAGGGGGGGCACTATCCCATTGTTAGCAGGGTTGTGCCGCAGTACAACGAGCTGATGGACAAGCTCGAGCGTGTGCTGCACAGTCTGGATCCCCCCCCCTCTGCGTTCATCTGCGCGTGCTGCGAGGTGGCACTCCCCAAGCTGGAGGAGTACTACTCCAGCAGCGACGAGCTATGCGTCGCCACTTTCCTCGACCCGACAATGAAGCTCGGGTACTTCGCCAAGCCACGCGGCGAGATGTCGACGAGGGTGGTAGAGCAGGTCGCCCTCGAGGCAGTCATCACTCTCGTGCGCAAGAAGTGGCAGCCGTACATGGACAAGGTGCGCGCGGCGGAGGCGGTGGCGGCGGAGCTTGGGGTAGAGGATGGGGATGACGGCGGTGGGGGGGGGGCGAGGGGGATGCTGCCATGGGGGCTACCTTCGGGGGGGATGACGACGAGGGTAGCCTGGTGAGGCACCTGGCTGCCTACCGCAGCAAGCAGTCCCAGGAGTAGAAGGATGAGATTCAGGTGTACCTCGATGAGCCGATCCTCCCCATGCGTGCTTCGCCGCTTGCGTACTGGCGACGCAGGGTCGATCTGCCAGCCTTGCAGGGTATGGCCATGGACTACCTGGCCATCCCCCCCACCTCTGCGGCTAGCGAGCGGATGTTCTCGCATGGCCGCAACCTCATCACATGGCAGCGGCATCGCCTTGGCACAGAGCGGGTGCGCGCATGCATGACCCTCAAGTCATGGAGTGCGATGCACCCGGGGGAAAGGCTTGGAGGGGTGGCAGCGCAAGAGCTGGCGGAGTTGGGGTTGGAGCTCGAGGAGGGAATGTGAACGGGGACAGCTTGTGCTCTGACAGCTACTGCCTGTGTGACTTGATCTATTTATTTGCATGCTTATGGTGTTAGGAGGTGATGGGCCTAGCAAAAAGTTGTGTGGCCATCGCCAGTCATGATGGCAAGGCACGGTGAGGCAAGGGTAGGCAGCTGTGGTTGGTTGTGGTTTTGTCACGGGCAGGGCAGGGCGGCAATGAACTTGGCAGTGGCATGAGATGTGCGGGGCGTGTCACCATGTTTAGACAAGTTGGCTGCTTTGGGTGTGTGCGGGTGGACAAAGAAAAAAACTTTTAGGCTATCGGCAATGTACTCATAATAGAGGGAGGGTTGCAATTTCGTTCCATCTAGGCGAACCACGTGTCAACGGTAGTGGTGGTATGCATTGAGTGCAATCAGTTACACTCAGCAGGTGGAAAACTAAAGAGCCAGCCATGACCCATAGCATGGAAGGGAAATGGCATAGGACAAGGCTGATTTTTCCCTGCACATGTTCCCATTACCCCCCCCCCCCCCTAACCCCCCAGCCGCCCAGGGCAAGGAATCCTCGCCCCGGTTCAAGGAATTAATCCTCGAGGCGAGGATTTCAATCCTCGACCCCAAAAACCCGTGGGTCGAGGGAGGATTTTCATGAAAAATCCTCGGCGAGGATTCCTCGACCCGCCCCGGCTAGGGCGCGAGGATGAGATCCTCGGGTCAAGGAATCCTCGCCTCGCCCCGTGCTCATGTCTAAGCTTAGGAAGAGCAAGACAGTTATTAGGGAGATTCAGAGGGGAGGGAACTTCTACAGGGACTCCAAGGGGATCCTTGCCGCAGTGTCAGACCACTTCCATGAAGCATTCGGGGTGGTGGCAGAAGCAGTGGTTCTGGAGACCTGGGTGAAAGACAGAGGCAGGAAACTCAGTCGGTTGGAGGCTGAGAAGCTGGACAGGGGCTGGACGGAAGAGGAGGTGCAGCAAGCGTTGCGGCAACTGTCCAATGGCAAGTCGCCAGTGTGTGATGGGCTCCCAAAGGAGTACGTGGAGAAACAGTGGTGCACGCTTAGAGGCAGTTTCATGGAGATGGTACGGAAGTTTGAAGAAGAGCTGCCCAGCCAGGTGGGAGAGGCAGCTACCATTTTGCTACACAAGAAAGGTGCAGAGGATGAGGTGGGGAATTATAGACCCATTACGTTGCTCAACAACTACTACAAAGTGTTAGCGAAGGTAATGGCAAACATGATGAAAGAGTTTATGCACAAGGTGGTCTCCAAGGAGCAGTTCGGGTTCCTACCGTAAGAAGGTTTTCGGAAGCGGTGATGATTGTAGCGGACATCATTGAAGCAGCAAAAAACGGGGACAGGGATTGGTACTTGCTGTTGGTCGACTTCGAGAAGGCATATGATTCCGTCAAGAGGAGGTACCTGTTCGAGGTAATGGGGGGCATGGGCTTTCCAAAGAATTCATGAGCTGGGTAGAGGGTCTACACCGAGGCTCCAGCACAAGGCTGGTAGTCAATGGTTGGACGGGGGAGAAGGTAATGGTGCGGAAAGGGGTCAGGAAAGGCTGTCCGCTTGCGCCTTATCTCTTCCTTTGTGCGGCGAAGCCACTTTGCAGGGAAGCGGAAAGACGGAAGCTGGGAGTGAGTAAGAAAGGCGGACACAGGCTATCGCATCTTGGGTACGTATACATCATTGGTGATTAATGGAAAGCGGCAGTTGGGGAAGGCGGAACTCCTACTGTAGGAGTTCGGGCAGGTGTCGGGGCTCAAGACGAATCCGTCGAAGTCCTTGCTTCTGGCGCTTGGGAAGAACAGCAGAGCGGTGATGCCACCCGGTCTGGATTACAAGTGGGTTGCCAAAGTGGAGGTGGTGAGGCTGCTGGGGATCTGTGAGAGGATGAGGCTTGCTGAATTCTTGATCACAACCATTTGTCATTTGCTATTTATTGTGTGTTATTTTGTGTATTTTTCATTGGAAATCCCTACACATTGATATATTTCATTTATATCATATGTGTTACGGAGTGTTACGAAATTTCCTTGCGTGATACGTTTTCTATTGCGTGGAGTGTTAAGTCACAATCATCGTATCTCTAGAATCCCTACCGTGGTTCTAGGTGGTGTTTCTACAGACGGTTCCACTCATCTCTAGAGCTCTCTTAGAAGGTCATAGTTACCCTTTCCTAGAGTTCTCGTAGGTATAAATAGCGTTGCCTCTTTGCTTGTATTGAGACATTCAATTCTGGATTCAATTCTTGATTAGTATCATTCAAGCTTCCGCTAAATCCTGGACCTGTGACAGGATCCATCTGTCGCCGAATGGACGTGCAGATCTGACGTGGGAGAGGGCTTTCAAAAGAGTGAAAGAGAAGCTGAAATTGTGGCAGTCGGAATATCTCACGATATGCCACTACGTGGTTCAACAACTACGTGACGTCGATACTGCTTTTTTCAGACTCTTGTATACTCGCCGACGGAGGATGTCTGGAGGAAGGTGGAGAAGGTGAGACAAAATTTCGTGTCCGGGAATAAGGCGGATGACGAGAAGCTTTTCGCACTTTGGAGCTGTGTACTCCAAGGAAGCTGGGAGGTCTTGGAGTAGTGGACCCCAAAGACCGAGTAGACAGCATGGCGCGAAGGTGCGTTGGTGCAGCGCTGCTGGAGAAATGCCCAATTCGGAGGGAGCTGACATAGATGGCAGCGTTGCTTTCGCTGGGCTGGGCGTCCCTATATGCTCACCCGTGATTGCTTAAAAGGTGGGGGAAGGGAAGTGAAAGATGGAGACAGATAAGCAGGTCGTGCATGGAAGGTAGAGTTATAGAGGTTGCAAGGGCAAGAACGAGGTGGGAAGTAGAGCAGGAGCAGATAACGTTCAACAAAAGGATCTTGTTCAAAGGGGACTCCCCTTTCGGTGTGCAAAAAGGAACGGAGAAGCTGCGAGGGTTCAGAATGGGAGACCTCATAAATAGACATCCAGATGGGGCGAGGGAGATGAAAAGCAGGGGCATGCTGGAAGCAGAACTAGGAGACTCAGTGGCCGCAGCACTAGCGGTGAAAGCTTTTGAGAAAGCTCCAGCAGATTGGAAAAATTGTATCCTGAGGAAGCTTGAGCCGGCGGAGCTGTTGAATGGAACCACCGTAGTGCAGACGAAAGGGTACCCAAAGGGTGAAGTATGGTGGTGGAAAATTCAAGGGGAGCGAAACGGGTGCCTCAAAGGCAGAAGAGTGGATGTCGACGCACGGGAACGGCTGGCGAAGGAGGTGAGGCCATGGGGTACGCAACTGCAGATTGCAGCAATAACGCCTCAAAAGGTCTCAGAGCAGATAGTATTGGAGAGTTGGGATCACCGACGGAAAGGTTACTGCGCACGGTGCTTAGAGATGGCGATGAGGTGGCACCGGTAAAGATGCTGAGGAAAAAGGCTCTACAAGGGCCGAAGACGACTAAGCAGCAGGTGGAATGGGAAAGGAGAAAGGGGGAGGAGATTGACTGCCGAAGATAATAGAGACGCGAGACTCTCTGGTGGTTCCACTGCGACCAAGAGACCCACTGCTGAAGTTCTTGGGGGAGTTGGGAGTTTGTCCACACTGTGGGGAGAGCGAAACCCTCCCGCACTGCCTCCTGGAGTGCACCATCATTCAGCTGTTAGTGGGGGCGCTAAAGGATGCATCGGCAATGTTCAATCCAAGGAGACATGTGTCGACGATCGAGGACCTTCTTTTCTCAAGTAGTGCTACACGGTCAGGTTTCCCGGAGACATCCATTACAGCCTGTACACTTCACAGAATATGGTTGGACTGATGTGAGGCGTTTTCAGAGGGGAGAAACTACAGGTGAAGAAGTTCCTGCGTCAGATCAGCGTGGCGTTTAACTGTCATGCGAGTGTTTACGTAAGCAGCAGAAGGAGGAAATGCCTGTCAGAGGATAAGGGGGGGCAGGTGAAGAAGGTACAGCAACATCCAGCAAAGGACAAGGTCCTTCTGCTCAGCCGCATACATGACATCTCGGCAAAAGGGATGAGATGGAACGAGGGTTTCCAATCCATCTGGACAAACCCCCGAACCTATCACAAACCTCCTTACCTGACTCGGAGGAGGAAGGTGTATGCCTAGCCTCCCAGAAGCAGTTACCACTACAACTGTAGGATGTCCTTGTGCTGTACATGTGTATAGTGCATTGCATTGATATTAAAAAAAAAATCAAATCTAGTGAATGTTAAAATATCACGCCACTTCTCACTAGGAACTGCATTACGAAGGACGGACAATATCGTGGCTCGACAATGTGATCACGTTTCACTTCTCGTGACGCATGCGTTGGTTCCTGTTGGAAATATCTCAAGGACTTAAGCGTTTCTGAAGTGTAACACTGTACTCGAGGAAGATTACAGGGGAGCACGCGAGTCAACGGAGGTTACACGAGGGGGCGGACAAAGAATACGAAAGGACCCGAAAGGTCGCAACTGGAGGTTGCGACTGACCGTTACAACATCACGGATGGTAACCGAAGCGGCAATCGAGTCGCTGTGCGACTCGATAAACCGTTCCTGTAACTGTATTCTACAACTGCTTTCTTATCTTCTATATATTGCTGTATGCTTGTTTCTTTAATCAATCACTTGTTCTCACATACTAGTACAAGGGTTCAACTGCCTCAACTTCCGCTGCACTACTCCAAGTCTCAAGTCTCTACAGCTGGGACTTAGTCTCTGCAAAAGATCCTAAGGGCTTTTCTCAGCCCAACAGTTCCATTAGCCGCCTAGAACTTTCAAACTCCAAATCTCGAGCTCCGATCCCACCAAGATTTCATTTGACCCCTCAATGGGCTGATTTGATTGTGGGAAGGAGATGGAACTGAATGTCGACCGTTGAGGCTAGATGGGAGGCAGTGATGACGAAGGAACGAGTATGCAAAATTGGCTTTAAATGTCAGTCAATCCAGATGTCTGCTCGGAAATGCATGGCACCTTCAGGAAAGAACACATCAGGAGCCGCAAGCACCTCATCCCAGGGCTTCTTGAACAGGTCTCGTGACCCCCACCCATGGTAGGGCTCCGAGAAAACACACCCACTGCGAGACTTCACCACACAATACCCCACTGAACCACTGCCATAGCCATTTCCCACCCCTCCAATTGGTGCACCACTGCTGCTAATGGCACTGGCACCTGCAGTACCACACACATCCCCTCCTGTAGAAGCAGCAGCAGCAGCAGTGGTTGCAGCAGCGGCAGCCCCAAGAAAACTCACACCAAGCTCACTGCCTGAAGCACCACCTTCAACGGAGCCAGCAGCAGAAGCACTGGTACCACCAGCAACGCTGCCACCAGTACTGGCCCCAGCCACCCCACTGCTGGTGGCCCTATGAGCCCTGCAATTCACGCCGCTATCGGTACCTGAGCTGCTGCTGCTTTGCCCTTCACTGCCTCCCCCGAGATCCATTTTCACGCAGAACCGGTACTGGCAATTCACGCTCTCTGCTGCAACGCCCGGGAAAGTGGCGTGCTTATCTAAGCGCAGGAACAGGCCAAAGCGCGGTCCCAGCTCTTTCTGACACTCCAACTTAGCATTAAGCGTGAACCACCGCCCGGCAATGCAGAACAGGCCGGAAGTTGCCTGGAAGGAGACGGAGGGCGTCCAGCCCTGGCACTGGCTGAGGGGAATTTCGAGGAAGAGGGACTTGCGGGGCGGGCGGTAGGAGCTGCGGGGGCGCGACCAAGAAGGGGGGGAGGCAGGGGATGATAGCATGTGAAGGGACTGTGAGAGTTGGTGGGAAGGGGACGCAGAGAGAGATGTGCAAGGGGTGGAGTGTGTGTGAGGGGGAGGAGAAGAGAGAGTGGGGAAGGGCAGGGAGGAGTATGGGGCTGAGTTTGTTGGCCTGGTGAAAGCAGGAGGTGAAACGGACAAGGCTGCAGAGACTAACTCAAAAGGAATAGGAGGAGGAGGAAGAGGAGGAAGAAGAGGAGGAGAAGTAACAGGATTCACAGGCGGAAACTGCGATGACAAGGGTGAGATTGACGTGGTCTGCACACCAGAGATCTCCTCCCCCCTCTGAGCCGCAGCAAACAGCCCTTCCAGAACCACCCCTCTGGCTTCCTCACTCTGCATCTCCTCTAGGCCCAGCACCACTGCCCGCACAAACCCTGCACCCACCCACGCCCACCGCACCTCCCTCACCAACCTCCCCACCACCGCCCTCCTCTCCTCCAAACCCGCCGCCTGGCTGCCACCCAAACCAGCTCTGCCACCCAGAGCGACTTCGCCGCCCAGACCCACTTTGTTGCCGGGGGTTGATTCGCTGTTCAGAGCCACTTTGCCGCCCCGGAATCTATGCCGGGCCCAGAGGATGAGCGCGCAGAAGACAGACTCTTCGGAGTCAACAGGCAGGTCGTCTGACTCCAGGAGAGCGCGCATCCCCGCCTCGGGGATGGAGAGAAACTCGATTAAGGGTGCTGCAGGGTGGCTCAGGTGAGGGTTGATCAGCTGAGGGGTGCTGAAATGAGAGGAGCTGAGGTGAGGGTGGTGGTGAAAGTGGTTGTGGTGAGGGTCGAGTAGCACAACAGCGCTGCTGTGGAGCTGTGAAGCATAGTGGTGGAGGTTGTTGAGTTGGGGGCCATAGTGGAGCACGATGCAGGCCTGGGAGGCGCGGATGAGCTGAGCGAGAAGGGGGTTGAGGCGGAGCGATGGAGGGAGGGAGAGTGCGAGGAGAGCATGCTGAGTGGAGATGGAGGAAGGGGTAGAAGAGGAGGAGGGGGCGGTGCTGGCGCTGGCGGTGGAGGGGGAGGGGGAAGAGGCCGAGGCGGATGCTGGGAGAGGGGGATTTGTGGGAAGAGTGGCTCCAGGGGTGCTGCTGCTGGGAGGGAGGGACGGTGTGGTGGTGGGGGTAGAGGAGGTAAGAAGTGCCGAGGTGGTGGAGGAGGAGGGGTGGGGGTGGGGGTGGGAGTGGAGGGGAGGGAGGGAGGTGAGGGAGGTGAGGAGGGAGGAGCATGTGGAGATGCACTCGTCCACGCCGAACCGGTCGGCTAAAAGAAGGAGCTGCAGTGTGCGCTCAAAGGATGTGACTGTATCGGCGAGAAGAGCGCCCCTGTAGATGTACTGTAGCAGCTCCATCATTAGAGGCTCTTCTGCAAAAAAAAAAAGAGACAAACAGAGAAGGAGGGATGGGGGTTTGAGGGGAGGGTGGGAGGGTGGGAGGGTGGGAGGGAGGGAGGTGAGGGATGTGAGGAGGGAGGAGCACGTGGAGATGCAATCGTCCAACCCGAACCGGTCGGCTAAGAGGAGGAGCTGCAGTGTGCGCTCAAAGGATGTGACTGTATTGGCGGGAAGAGCGCCACTGTAGATGTTCTGTAGCAGCTCCATCATTAGAAGCTCCTCTGGGAAAAGTTGGAAGGCAGACAGCGACGAGGGAACGAAGGGAGAAGAAAGAAAGATGGAGATTGAAATATAAGAAAGACGAGCGATGGAGAGAAAAGGGAATGGAAAGTGAAAAGAAGGGTATGCGGCACACGACATCACACCATTGCATGCCATTCATTCAATGGCATGCAGTGTCGTCATCATGCAGGGACATGCTGTGTTGCATACATCATACAAGCGAGTGCGAACAGTAGAGTAATGCCACACTATATGCACCATCCAAGCTTACCTTGAGCGGACAGACGAATGTGCACAATGTGCGTCTGTCCAGGGTCTCGCTGAGCGCGCATGTGAAGAGAGTACAGATATGAGAATGATACACGTCAAAGCAGGCACTAAGCTTACCTTGGGTGGACAAGTGGACGTGCACGACTCTTCTGTCCAGTGTCTCGCTGAACCCGCTCGTGAAGAGCGCACGGAAGAAGGACGACTTGGACGCCAGAACGACCGACGCTGCTGGCACGTCTCGCGTTGAGGGGTCAGACGGAGAAACCGCAGCAGAAGCTGCTGCTGCTGCTGCTGCTGCTGCTGCTGCTGCTGCTGCTGCTGCTGCTGCTGCTGCTGCTGCTGCTGCTGCTGCAGAAGCTGCTGGAGCTGCTGAGCTGTATATCCCTGCAGTGTCCACGTGTAGGGGTTCTTTGTTGCTGGTTTCAGCGGTCTCTTCGGCGGCGTTTATTTCGTCCGCTGCAGCTGAAGGAGCATGGGATGGTACAGGAAAATGATATTAAATGAATAAATCCGTGGCTACTATGTCACGAAATAGAAGGAATAAAAGAAGCCGGAATAGCCCGTGGTGCGACGAATAACAGTCAGTCAACGGATGGAATCTGTTCAGGAGATATACAAGATCAGCCATTGTCTGCTGCAGTTCTGATAGCTGCCGATTTTCTCAAACCACACCATTATCCGCTGGTAGTGTTTTTTAAGACGACTCAGAAACGAAACACCTGCTGGGTGATATTACCGAATCTAAATAAGAAACTACCTGGATGTGTATTACGGAGACTAAAATACTAACTCTACCTGCTAGGTGTGGCTCGATCACAAGTCGCAGCACGCAGTCAGAGAAGGCGGGCTCTCGGAAGGCAAAGCCGAAGTCGAACCGTGGTAAGGTCGCCATTGCCACCAGCAGCGAAGCGCCGAATTGACGACCCGCTTTGAGTATTGTTTACCGAACCTTATATTACGCCAGCCTACAGAGAGGAAGCACGCCCGTGTTCGTTCTTGATGCGGAATAATAGGGTAGGGTAAAACCGTACCACAATCTAATTCTTTGTAACAAGTTCCCACAAAACACTGCCCATGGCTACTTCACGATGCATGGCTGCTGGATCTCCTCACTCGATTCCAAAGCCCAAGGAGGGCAGCGTGCTCGATTTTAGGTAGCGTTGGTGAAGAGTGGTTCAAATAGGCATGCTGACGACATCCCCTCCCTGATGTTGAAAAGAGTTTCAAAGTGGTAATTCGTGTTCCTGTGCGGTTCCGGTGACCTGGATGAGGGAGACCTTTGACGAAACGCCTCAATTCGGCAGCACACCCAGGGGAGACAACATCGCGGCGGAAATTGGAGATTTCGTCAACAGTGTGCGACAGTACACTCACAACGTGTACAGAATCGAGGTGACTAATAAAAGAGCAGAGTAAATTACAAATATCCATGGCACTTTGTTAAGGGCCCAATTGGACCTCCTCTAGTATCACCTCCTCAAACACCAAACACCACGGTCTCCTAATTCACGTTCATGGCTTCTGTATCTCCTCATACCACATGAAAGCAGCCATATCCATATGATTGCAATAGGAATGCAGTATCATGGACTTCCCTACATAACATGCTCCGATGTGATCATCAGGCGAATGCAATAATAGTTACAGAGATTATGGTAGTAGTAACAGTCACGAGGCTGATGTTGCTGTTGCTGCTACTGCCGCTGCTGATGTTGACGGTGCCGTAGCTGGTGCAACCGGGTTTCCAGTGGTGGGTGAATGCACCCCAGAACCACGACCTTCACCCATCATAGCTCCCTGACCCAACGTTGATCCCCTTCTTCCACCATCCACAAATATACACACACTGTTGCCATACCGCCTCCCCCCCACTTCACCCCCACTTCCCTCCCCTCCACTCTCCAATTCCCCCACCTCCACCTCTCCATCCCCTCCCTCTCCTCTCTCCCCATCCTCCTGGATCTTCTCTTTCCCTTTCTTCCCCTTCCTCCCCTTCTTCCCCTTACCCATATCCTCCCCACAGCCACCACCACCAGAAGCAGAATCCCAAACCACCCCACTCCCTTGCCTTCTATCCCCATCCCTCCCCTCACCGGAAGCAGCAGAATGCGGGGGAGGAGAGGGGGGGGCGGTGGGGGGAGGGGGCAGGGATTTAACCGCGGAATGTAAGAGAGTGAAGGGGAGGGCGAGGGCTGGGAGGAGCAGACCGGAGCGATGGAGGAAAGCCAAGGCGATGAGAGCTGTGGGGAGGGGCGGAAAGGGGGGAGGGGGGCAGATGGGGGGAGGGGGCAGATGGGGGGTGGAGGCGAGTATAAGCAGATTGAGGCTTCGCAAGGAAAACTGGTTCAGGGGGAGGGCTGAGGGCTGGGAGGACCAGATCGAAGCGATGTAAGAGAGCCAAAGCAAGGAGAGCTGGAGGAGGGGGGCAGATAGGAGGGGTGGCGGTGTAGTGCAAGCAAATTGAGGTGTCACAAGAGAAACCAGCTAAGGGTAAGGGCTTTAACTGCGGAGTGCAGGAGAGTGAAAGGGAGGGTGAGGGCTGGGAGGAGCCGACCGGAGATGGAGGAAAGCCAAGGCGATGAGAGCTGTGGGGAGGGCGGAAGGGGGGGAAGCCGGTCGAAATAAGGGGGGGGGGGGGGGGGGGAGGGCGCGGCGGGGAGTAGAACAAGCTAAGAAAAGCGTTTGAGACGACTCAAAAGCAGTTTGAGAGTTCAAGAAGAAAGGAGGAGATGGCTCCAGTGAAATGGCCCCAGCAGCAGCCGTGAGTGACGAAGTGGTGGGGTGAGAGGAGAGTGGGAGGGGAGAGTGGGAGGGGATAGTGGGAGGGGATAGTGGGAGGGGATAGTGGGAGGGGATAGTGGGAGGGGGTAGCATGCCTGCTATGGTGAAGGGGGAGGCATACCGGCGAGGATGAGAAGGATGACGGCGATAACTCCTGTGAATCGGGCCCAGCAGCCGTGAGTCACAAAGCACACCATACCGAAGAATGAAGGGCAGGCGAAACTGGGTTGGAGGTAAAATAGGAAGGACAAGGAAGGACCAATTGAGAGGAGGAACAAGGAGTGCAGAGGGGCAGAGAGGGGGGCTGAAAGAACCCCAGGAGCCATGTGTCACGAAGCAAACCATACAAAAGAACGAAGGGCAGGCGAAACTGTGGGGGCAGCGAAGGGGAGGGTGAAAAGGACACAAGGTGAAAGAGCGGTAAATGACCCCAGCAGACATGAGTCACGAAGAGCACCATGCCGACGAACGAACAGCAGGTAACGGGGGTTTTATTTTTGAGCGCCACAAAAATAGACACCTCATGCAGACATGAGTCACGAAGAACACCATCACAGCGAATGAAGGGCAGGTGACGGGGGTGATGGGGGTGATGGGGGTGATGGGGGTGATGGGGGTGATGGGGGTGATGGGGGTGATGGGGGTGATGGGGGTGATGGGGGTGATGGGGGTGATGGGGGTGATGGGGGTGATGGGGGTGATGGGGGTGATGGGGGTGATGGGGGTGTTGAAGAGCTGAGAGAACAGGGGGCATGCGTTGAAGGGAGGGCATGGGGGTTGGATTCTTTTTTTTTAGGGGGGGGGGGGTTGTTGTTGGTGGAAGGGTGGCAAAATGACCTCAGAGCGCATGAGTGACGCCGCAGACCACGTAAGCATGGGTAACACGAACAAATTCTCTGCGCCCCGAGAAGAGCATTTACACGAGGAGGAGGAGGAGGAGGAGGAGGAGGAGGAGGAGGAGGAGGAGGAGGAGGAGGAGGAGGAGGAGGAGGAGGAGGAGGAGGAGGAGGAGGAGGAGGAGGAGGAGGCTCTGCAGGAGAAAGACTCACCTGGAAGAAATCACTAACCACCCACCACCTACCTGCAGTCACTTGAGCGGGAGGACGAGGAGGAGGAGGATGAAGAGGAGGAGCCAGGGCGCAGCGAAAAGAGTTTAGTGTTGCGCATGGTGTTGCCGTCCATGTCAGTGTCAACTGATAGAAACTACCAACCACCCACCTGCAATCACTGGATCGGGAAGACGAGGAGGAACCAGAGGAGGAGGAGGAGCCGGGGCGGGGCGAGAAGAGCGTGGTGTTGCGCATGGCCTTGCCGTCCGCCTGGCCGCTCTGCGCCCCGCGGTTGTCCACCGTGACATTGGTGGTGAAGGAGAGTGGCGCCACGTCAGCAACTGATGATATGGCGTCGTACAGGACCACTGGAGAAAAAGGGGCGGGGGTGGGGAGAGAGAAAATGGAAGGTGACTCTTGAGCAGACTCAAAAGGCGTTGGTGGGGAATGTGAGGGGTGCCACGTCAGCAACTCATGAGATGGCGTCGTACAGGACCACTGGGGAAAAGGGGAGAGGGGAGCCCTTAGGGCAGAGGGCAGGCTACCGAATGAAAGGCATGACAAATGAGCCTTGACATACTTCCTTTCTTCCAATCCTAGCCAGAAACTGCCCTAGCCAGCACCTGCCCTAGCCAGCACCTGCCCTAGCTAGCACCTGCCCTAGCTAGCGCCACCGAGGCTCAAGAAGTTTACCAAGGCACGAGCGCTGCGAGGCTAGGGAGTCCTGCAGTTGCAGCAGAAAGGTAAAGGCTGCCGTTGCCCCCGCTGCTATGCTGCGATCCTGAGCCTGGTGTTGGGGGAGGGGGGTAAGATGGGGGAGGAGGGGGGCACGGGGGGAATTGCTAGGTAATTGCGATCCAGCAGAGAGGGTGAAAGTTGCTGTCGTGCCTGTTTCTATGCTGCGCTCCTGAGGTTGGTGAAGGGGGGTAGGAAGAGGGGGGCAATGGAGGCGGGAAAGGCAAGAGAGAAGAATAGGCAAGACGAGGGAGAGAAACGCGGAAATGAAAGCATGGAAAGGTCCATTTGAAGATAAAGAGGAAGAGCAGGGAGAGGGAAAGGGATGTGGGGGGAAGAAAAGTAGGACATTGAGAGATAGAGGAGGAGGCACTCACAGGTATTGGGAGCACTCCAGAGGAGCAATTTTGAATCTGCAGTAAAAGGAGGTATTAGAGGAGGGGTGAGGAGGCAGAGGAGGGGGGGGAAAGGTGAAAGGGCGAGAGGTGACATACAGTGAACTTGCACAAATCTGTTTCGAGACGACTCAAAATATTGAGCAAAATGTTGCTAAAGGAAAGGTTCATGAAACCTACACTGCCACCACGAGGCACTTCTGCATTGGTACCAGCTTCAACAGCAAACATGATGCAAACAAGGCTGTCCAGTTGGCCTTTGTAATTGTGCCATCCAAGAAGATGCTGCCTAAGTTGAAGTTCTCTCCATCACAAGGCCGTCCAATTGGCCATCTGCTTATGTGGCATTTTCTTGGTTGGCACCACCACAAGCACCAATTAGACGGTCTTGTTTGCACCCTGTTTGCTCGTGAAGCTAGTACCTATGCAAAAGTGCCTCGCAGTGGCAGTGTGGTTTTTGTAAACCTTCCATTTAGCAATATTTTGATTGACACCAAACCGAAACTCCCCCTTAAGCTTCTCGATACAGTGTGGATACACTGCATAAATTGTGAATGTACAGTGGGAGAGTGCATTGCTAGTGGAAGGTGTGAATACTGTGAGGATGAAGTCAGCATCGAGCGTGCCTTTATTGGCCACCTTAATGCCCATCCTGACTTCATGTGTCCACAATGTGAATGCGCAGTGGGAAAATACAGTGAGGGTGCTGACACCGACAGTGGTGAGAGTACAACCTGACTGTATGCATCGACGACCAGTAACCATACATACCAAGCGGGTGCATTGCTAGTGGGTAACTGCATAACCAATTATACCGTGAGGGTGAAGTCGGCATCGAGAGTGCCGTTATTGGCCACCTTAATGCCCACCCGCCCCTCACTCGACATGGCTTCAAACGATGGTGCTGACACCGACACTATGCAACCGGGGCTCCTGTGGGGGAGATGGAGGAGAGGGGAGAGAGGAGGGAGGGGATAGATGCGAGGTGATAGAGAAGAGAAAAGCAATCTTGATGTTTCGGGCAACCCTCCTGTCACTTGACGTGGCTTCAAACGAAGATGCCAACACCGACGACACTATGCGACAGGGGCCCTGTGGAAGGAAGGGGGAAGGAGGAGAGAAGGCAAGGGAAAGCATTAATCGCGATGCAAGCAAGCCATTGCCATCAGCAAGGTGCTGGCACGGACACTATGCGGCCGGGGCTCCTGAGGAGGAGAGAGAGAGGGGAGCAGAGCAAGGCAAGGGAGGAAAAATCAGCAGGAGGCAGGAATAGGGTTACCCTTGAGTCGGCTTAACAGAGTGCCAACACGGACACAATGCAAACGAAGCTTCTGTGGAGGAACGCAGAGTGAGGGGAATTTTTGAGTCGAGTGTAATGAGTCGATTTTTGAGTCGACTCAAAAATCGACTCATTACACACGGATTATACACTGAGAGAATTTTTGTCGCATGGAAGGCTGGGCGTAACTTGCAAAAGTTACTTGTTCGCGCGAGGCTCCCTGAGCACCAGCTGACGAGATGTGGGTTACCCACGACACGTCCCGAGGAATGAAGACCTGGCACCTTGGAACTTTCCAGGGTGTTTTGGATTGGCTGACCAGATTTCAGTCGCGGTTGTTCCAACCTTGAAGTTGTTGTTCTCGTAGCGCAGTTTTCTGTTTAAGAGCTCGCTTGTAAACTCACTTTTATAATTCCACCAGCACTGATGAAGGTCTGATTTGGGGCCTGTCCCAGTCAGCCGAAACTAGTTTGCGTTTTAATCTTCTAGTGGAGTTGAGTTCGGAGTTTCAAATTCTCGGTTTTTGAACAGGGGTATCTTTTTTACCTGTCACTCTTTTGCTAAAGTTTTTCCTCTCCGCTGCTGCCCACCCTAACGCTTAATGGCTTAACAGAGTGCCAACACGGACACAATGCAAACGAGGCTTCTGTGGAGGAACGCAGAGTGAGGGGAATTTTTGAGTCGAGTCAAACATCACCTATGGCTTCTGTGGAGGAACGCGGAGTGAGGGGAATACGATGCGGGCAGGGAGGGAGGGGTGGGGGTGTTATGGAAGAGGCCATGGGAAGCAAGACGCCAGGCATGGGCTAAGAAAAACAGGGGCATGCATGACCCGATAGGCAGGTAAGCACCATCAGCTGAAGCTGCGATAATATTTTCTCCGTGCTAAAACAAGGCGACAACGTCACCCACCTGTTCTTGATGAAGGTGACGTCATCAGCAGCTATCTCAAGCGTGATGAGGGAGTTGAGTCGCTGAGTCACCACGAGGGCAATGCTCAGAGAGCCATTGGGCTGCATGGGAGTGCGGTTCAATGTGGTGAAATGGGTTGGGATAGGGTGGAAACGAGCCAAAGGATATGGCAGCAGGAACTATCTCAACTGTCTCGAGAGGGTGATGAGGGAGTTGAGTCGCCGGGTCATGACCAGAGCAATGTGAGAAGAATGCCAGTGGGGTGTGCCGATTGTCACACGCCATCTAATATATTTCTCTTGAGACAGTGATAGCTTATTTTCTGAGGACCCCAGTGGGGTGTGTCGATTTTCCGAGGATCCCCAAACACCAGGTAGCACTTGAGGAGTCCCCATGTGTGCTCTGATAGCCTGTATAGTTAGTAGTGCTGTTGAAGTTCACTAAGCAAACCTGTGCCCATTGGACCTGCACTCACACTTTCAAGAGTGGTGATGGGTCCAAGAGACGACAGCGCATGGATCGGCTGAAGGCCCTCAGCCACTCGCTCTGCATCCTCCTGCCATAGGAGTGAAAGAAATAGTTAAGTCGACTTGAGTCAACTTGAGTCAAGCTCAATAGACACACTAGCTGGGCTGGAGGAGCCTAGGCACTCGCTCTGCACCCACCTGCCATAGGCATGAGCATTGAGGGGAGGAGCGAGAGAGGGGACGAAGAGGAATGATGCAAATGCTCCCAAGTCAACCTCACAGACACGTGGATGCGCGGAAGGCCTGGAGTGGAGCCATTCCAAGCGGCTCTTATCGCCTAACACTTGGCTGGAGAGGAGAGGCAGGAGGTGACAGACCCCGGCACCTTGACACACTGACTTGTGTGTGTGTTTTTGTGCCATACAACCGCTAGACAACTGACCTGAGCGAAATCTAAAAGCTGGTTGGACAGGCAGGAGCCCACGGAGCGTTGGCAGCGGTCGGGCTCAAAGCGGAAGGCGCTGAGATAGGTGCCCACCTTGCTGCACTCACTGCCGTCCAGCGCCTTGCAGCACTCACCACTGCTGCTGTGCCTTACCCCTGCCAACAACTGACCTGAGCGAAGTCCAGCAGCTGGTTGGAGAGGCAGGAGCCCACGGATCGCTGGCAGCGGTCGGGCTCGAAGCGGAAGGCGCTGTAGCTGGTGCCGACCTTGTTGCACTCACTGCCGTCCAGCGAGTACTGTTCCTTGTCCACTAGCAGCCAGCCTGGATGGGGGATTGGGGATTAGGGTTTGGGGGTTCGGGTTTGGGAATTACAGGAAGCTGGTGAAGGTGGTGCCCACCTTGCTGCACCTGCTGCCATCCAGCGAGTACTGCTCCTTGTCCACTAGCAGCCAGCCTGGATGGGGGATTGAGGATTAGGCTTTGAGAATTAGGAGGAGGCAGTAGAACGCGGACCGGCCAAAGGCGAGGGAGCCTGGTTGCAAGGGCACAGATAGCAGGAGATTGCTCAGGTCACTGAGGTTGGGAAGCTGAGTGTAGGTGAGGAAGTCGCACTGTCCACACTGATCCTTTTAAGTGCAACTGCGGCACTCCTCTTAGACTCACCTGATGTGTCGGAGGTGAACCGGCCAAAGGTGGGGGAGCCAGGTTGCAAGGCCACGGACAGCAGGAGATCGCTCAGGTCACTGAGGTTGGGCAGCTGAGTGTAGTTGAAGAGGACCTGCTCTTCTCCCTCCCTTCTCTACTACTTCCGTTGACTCCAAACCAGATGTGCCGGACGTAATTCTTTAGTCAACTCAAGCATCACCTTACCTGGTGTATCGAAGGTGAATCGGCCAAAGGTGGGGGAGCCAGGTTGCAAGGCCACGGACAGCAGGCGGTCACTCAAGGTGGGCAGCTGAGTGTAGGTGACCCCTCTCTTGAATGATCCCCTCTCGCCCATCCAACCCTCTTCATGTGTCACGGAGGTAGCCCCCCCAAACTCACCTGGTGTATCGGAGGTGAATCGGCCAAAGGTGGGGGAGCCCAGTTGGAGAGGCACAGACAGCAGGCCATCGCTGAGGTTGGGCAGCTGAGTGCAGGTGAGGACAGAGAGTTCATCTATACTCGCACTCCCCCCCACCCAAACCCTCCCGTCTTCCCCCCGCCAACCCCACCTCATTCTACCCCACCCCAACTCACCTGATGTGTCGGAGGTAAACCGGCCAAAGGTGGGGGAGCCTGGCTGGAGAGGCACGGAGAGCAGACGGTCGCTGAGGTTGGGGAGCTGAGTGTAGGTGAGGAAGTCGCCGACTAGGGTGGCTGAGACAGAGAGAGAGGGGTTCACTGCCACCGGGGCTATAGGCGAGAGGATGAGAGTCTCCTGAGGTGGGGGAGAGGGTACATACAGGGTGAAGAGGGATGAGAGGAATGAGAAGAAGAGAGGAAGGTGAGGGTGGTTGAGAATTCTCAAAAACACCCTGCAAAATGAGGGTGGTTGAGAATTCTCAAAAACACCCTGCAAAATGAGGGTGGTTGAGAGGGAGCGAGAGGGGTCCACTGCCACCAGGACCAAGGGCGAGAGGATGAGTTAGTGACTCCAGTGGTGCTTGAGGGGGTGAGAGAGAGGGCGACGACATGGGTCTGTTTTTGAGTCGACTCAAAAACAGACTCATTACACTTGGCGCGGGAAGGGGTGAGAGAGAGGGCGACAGGGGTTCACTGGCACTGGTTCCATGGGCGAGAGGATGAGAGCCTCCTGGAAGATCCTCAGGGGGGAGGGGGGGAAAAGGAAATCAAGGAATGGGAGTGGAAAACTTTGTGCACTGAGAGGGAGCGAGCGGGGTTCACTGGCACTGGGGCCATGGGCGAGAGGATGAGAGTCTCCTGGGTATTTTTAGAATTCTCAAAAGTCTCATGGAAGATCCGCAAGGGGGAGGGAGAAAGGAGAAATAAAGGAAGCAAGGAATGAGTTCGGAAGTCTTCGTGCGTTGAGAGGGAGCGAGCGGGGCTCGCTGGCACTGGGGCCATGGGCGAGAGTGTACCTGTGGTACACCCTGTGTAATGAGTCGATTTTTGAGTCGACTAAAAAATCGACTCATTACACACTTTGAGTCGACTCCAAAATCGACTCATTACACTCTTTGAGTCGACTCAAAAAGCGACTCATTACACACTTTGAGTCGACTAAAAAATCGACTCATTACACACTGGGGCCATGGGCGAGAGTGTACCTGTGGTACAGGCGGGGGATGAGGGAAAAGAAAGGCTCAGTACCAACAGAGGAAGAAATTAATTACATCCTTTCCAGCCTGTGTGATAGTAGTTTAGTTCTGAGACGACGTCTCAAGAGTAGATTACTAGCAAACAGAGTCTCCTGTGGCGGAGGAGGGGGTGCATCCTCTGCTCTGAAACGAAAGGCATGGTAAGAACAGAGGAAGAGATTCGGTGCATTGCCTTTTGACTGGAATGGTATAGCAGGGTTGCTGAGAGAGAGGAGTTTGGGCGGGAACCTGCTCTCCCATCTTGCTTTCTACAACCACTTCACACTTGCTTTCTAGAGCCACTTCTTAAACATACTCTCTAGAACTTCGTCCCAACCTGTTCCCTTCATCTCGTATCATACATGATCACAGCAATGACACATGCTTCACACACCTGCTCAGTGGGGCGATGAAGAACTAAGGTGGGTGGGGTGATGGGCAGAGGTAGGTGGGGTGACGGGCTGAAGTGGGTGGGGTGATAGGTTGAGCTAGGTGGGTTGATGGGCTGAGATGATTGGGGTGATGGGTTGAACCCATCTCACCCCATCACCCCACACCTCAGACCATCACACCACACCTCAACCTATCACCCCACACCTCAGCCCATCACCCCACACCTCAGCCTATCACCCCACACCTCAACCCATCACCCCACACCTCAGCCCATCACACCACACCTCAGCTCAGCCTATCACCCCACACCTCAACCCATCACCCCACACCTCAACCCATCACCCCACACCTCAGCCCATCACACCACACCTCAGCTCAGCCTATCACCCCACACCTCAACCCATCACCCCACACCTCAACCCATCACCCCACACCTCAGCCCATCACCCCACACCTACTAGCCGTTCTGACACTGTCCTCCATGGCACCTGTCTCTCACCCATACACCTGCTCCTTGGAGTCCAACAGCAGCGTGGTGATGGTGATCTGGATCTCGAGGGCGAGAAAAGTCAGCCTATGCCTCTAGCAGAACACACACCTTCACACACCTGCGCACACCTGCACACACCTGCGCACACATGCGCACACCTGCACACACCTGCAAACACCTGCAAACACGTGTTTCCCACGCACCTGCTCCTTGGAGTCCAACAGCAGCTTGCTGATGGTGATCTGGATCTGGAACACGAGGGACGCCAGGCCTATTCGGTACGTGGGGTACCTAGGAAGGGGGGGAGGTGGAGTGCGATATTTTAAGATTAAAACGCCCTCCTTCATTTCACGTTTAATATCAGGCGCCTTAAAAAATCGATGCCAGCCAGGCCTATGCGGTACATCAGGTGCCCAAGTAGGGGGTGGCGACAGGGGGAGGAGGAATGCAAGAAGAGATGAGGAGGTGGCGACAGGGGGGAGAAGGGCGATATCAGCAGGGTAAGTCATTCGTCTAAACATGGTTGAGAATTGCTCCGTAAGATTCAAAGGGAGAGCCTTGGAGATTTTTTCTTAATAATGAAGGGAACACTACTGACCAGGTATTGTTGAATCGAAGGCAATGAGCGCTAGAAGGCACTCCTCCAAAGAAGAGCTCTGCACGAGACACAGACGGACATGGAAGTGAGAAAAGCAGTGCGAAACACCTTCAGAACGAGCGTGCAAATGCATGCATCTGTGCGTACGGAAAGTGATTACACACACACGCATGTGCGAGTGACTATGCCTCTCCTCATCACTTCTCATTGCTCTACTGAAATTGAGCCTGTCTTGTTGTTCCGATGTAAGATTGGCAGGTGGATGGCAAACAAGAATGTTGCACAGCACTTGGAGGAGAGGGTAAACTGTTTGGATGAAGGCCTATTGCTGCGGGTCGAATCCAACTCCTTTTCAATTGGAGGAGAGGGTAGATTGCATGTTCCGAGCATTACAGTCCGAGCACCATGATGAGGGAGGGGTCCTGTTTTTGAGTTGACCCAAACGCAGACTCTTCTGACCATTATAGGGCCAGCTAGAAGTTCCCCGAGCACCATGATGAGGGGGGGTCCGGTTTTTTAGTTGACTCAAAATCAGACTTTTCTGACCATCACATCGCCAGCTAGAAGTTCCCCGAGCACCATGATGAGGGGGCGGTCCTGTCGCTCGAGAAAATAATCGTACTCCTCACGTGACCAACTTTCGGGACAAGCCAACCAAGTTTGGTTGGGCTTGTTGCCACGCTAGTTGGATCAGGACGAACAAGATTAGTTTCGTGAGCGACAAGACCCCTACCTCATTGTGGCGCTCGGGTTAACATTCGAGCCAGCGCCCTCGACCTCAATGGACAACATAGGTTCTGGCAGGTGGCATGGCAATATGTCGATGTATCCTGTTGTGGTGTTGCTTGGTTTGTGTTACGGTAGTATGCCAGGAAAGCTGCAGCATTATCAGCATACAACCTTTTACCAGCATCATCTCACAGGCCCTTGTAAACGTTTATGCTCCTAAGTGCTCAACAGCACCCCTCACGCCACCCAACCACTCTTATCACTCTTAGGAAATACTTGCCGTCGGCTCAGACAGTATCACTCATGATTCCGCCATTCTGTTCTCCCACACCTCTCCATTCCTGCCCTCTGTACTCACTCCGTCGCCACAGGCTGCAGCAGTCCAGGACCTGGGCTCCAGGTAGGCCCTGAACTGCTTCGGATTGCCCAGACCATTCTATCAACAGCGCCCCACGTGTCCCCACCACGTGGTGACATTTCCCCATCCTCCCCTCTAGTTTTCATTCCAACATCCCTCTTCCTTCCAACCCCCTTCCCTCGGCACTCACTCTGTCGCCACAGGCTGCAGTCCAGATCGGCCCTGAATTGCTGCGGGTTGTCCAGGCCAATGGAGTCCTTCCACGTGTCACCACCACTGCAGCTGCAGCAGAACCCCTGGAGAAGGGCGAGTGGAAAGATGGGCGAGGGACTGGGAGAAATGATTTCTTGTGGATTCGTCTTGACCAGCGAAATAGTTGCACGTGCTGTTTGCATGCAAGCAGCAGACGCAGGAGCAAGCAGCTGGCACAACAAATGTTGACAGTGTTCATTGTTGGCAGTGTTCATTGTTGACAGGGTTCCTCGACCCAGACCTCATTACTACATGGCTGTTGGGAACCCTCGGACCGTCTGGGTCGAGATCTTTTTTGTTTTCCTGGCTGCTAAGAACCCTCGCTGCGTTTGAGTCAGCTCACACGCTGCTGGGAGGCCCTCAGACCGTCAGGGTAGAGGAACCAGCCGCAGGTGGGGTTGCTGTTGTACGCCACAACCCTGCACCCCAATACTCCATCAGGTGGACCTTTTTTTAGAATCATACCTGGCTGTCAGGCACCCTTGAGCCATCAGGATAGAGGAACCAGCCGCAGGTAGGATCGCTGTCGTACGCCCCATCCCTGCACCCCGTCGTAGTCACAACCACCTCGTATGGCCGGCCATTGAACGACTGACACGTGGCATGCAGGGGTGAGGGTGGAAGGATGTTGAGACATTTAGATCTTGCTGTCATAAGCACCTTCCTTGCACCCCGTTGTTGTCACCACCTCGTATGGCCAGCCATTGAGGGGATGACACGTGGCAGGAAAAAGGTAGACGCAGGGGGGAAAAGTGGATGGAACTTAAAAGGAAGGAAGAGCATGGGGGCGAGCTTGGGGACGAGCATGGGGACGAGCATGGGGACGAGCATGGGGACGAGCATGGGGACGAGCATGGGGACGAGCATGGGAACGAGCATGGGAACGAGCATGGGGACGAGCATGGGGCGGAGCCGCAACTGCAACCCACAAGAGGCACACAAAGGAAGGTAGGCCAAAGGTTAGTTATGCGACCCACAACATCTGCAGACCTTGAAATTCACCACGGTCCTACCTGCAGGAAGGTGAGTGGGTACACAGCATAGACTGGCGTCTTGACCACTGTGATCTTCACAGGGTCTGCTAGCCGCCTCTCCACTCCCCCCCCCCCCCCTCCTCCTCCTCCTCCTCCTCCTCCTCCTCCTCCTCCTGCTGCTGCGGCGGCTGGTGCTGGTGCTGTACCGTTGCTGCCTGTATTATCTCCCCCATCCCCTCCCCTGGTGTTATCTCCCCGTCCTCCTGCAGATCCACTTGTGCTGTCAGTGACGCGAGTTAGCACTGCCTCTATGGCCTCTGTGCCTAGCGTCTGGAGGGGAGGCAACAGCGTGACAGAGAGTGAAAGAGCGCGGACAGAGAAAGCCTGTCGAGTTGCCTCAAACACTTGTGCTGTCAGTGACACGAGTCAGCACCGCCTATATGGCCTCCGTACCCAGGGTCTGTAGGGGAGGGAACAGGGGACAGAGAGTGAACCATTGGTGCCTGTACCATCTCCCGCATCCCCTCCCTTGGTGTTACCCCCCCCCTCTTCCAGCAGAGCCACTTTTGCTGTCAGTGACGCGAGTCAGCACCGCCTCTATGGCCTCTGTGCCTAGAGTCTGGAGGGGAGGCAATGAGCGTCCGAGAGAGCAGGGGGGACGGAGAGGGGCATGGGTTCTCAAAATGAGGCGCCTCAAACAGACACTGGTGCTGTTAGTGAGGCGAGTCAGCACTGCCTCAATGGGGGGCGGTGTTATGAGAAAATTACCCCCTATAGAAAGCCTCTACACTCACATGGCCGTTGGAGACGGCAAGGGCGATCATGATCTTCTTCCTGCACTTGAAAGACCTTGCCCCCTCTTACAGACGCTTCAAGAACCTTCAACAACCTTCAACAACCTTCACTAACCTAGAGCAAGTCTTTTGTCTTCTGACTCACATGGCCGTTGGAGGCAGCAAGGGAGATCACGACTGCACTTCACAGACGTAACTCTCTCCCTACGGCTCTTTAAAAACTTATATACGCATTAACACACCAATATACTCACATGGCCGTTAGAGACAGCAAGGGAGATCACGATCTTCTTCTTGCACTTCACAGACTTAGCCCCCTCCGGCACATAGCTCGGCTGCTGCTGCTGCTCCAGCCCCAACCCTCCCAAAAGAGCAGCAGATCCCTCCGCGAACTCCGTTGCTGCTGCTGCTGGTGCTTCGGGTATTGCACCGTTCGGCTGCATCCCCCCTCCTTTCGTCTGGTCACCTTCGCCCTGGCTGTAACCCCTTGCCCCACCACCATCACCACCCTGACCATACCCCTTCACCCCACCAACAACCCCCCCATCAGCAGTACCCCCACCAGCAACCCCCGCACCAGCAATCCCTCCCTCGGCCACACACATAGTGAGGTCGCTCTTAGCGATGATGCCTGCTGCACACATTAGCACGCCCCTGGATTGCGTCCCAGCCGTCTGATCCCCACCAGGCAGGATCTGGTCCGTCCACGTGCTGACATCCAGCAGCAGCAGAGATATGAAGAGGAGCAGATGCTGACATATTCGATGCATTCTGGCTCCTCGCATACAATCACCCGCCTTGTTGTTGATTCTGCTACTGGTGCTGATTCTGCTGATGTTACTTCCTGGTGGTTCTGCTGCTGCTGCTGCTGCTGCCGTTTCTGCTGCTGTTGCTGCTGCTGTTGCTGCTGCTGTTGCTGCTTCTGTTTCTGCCACTTGGCGTTACGACGAGATTTAGCGCCGGAGCAAGTTCCCACATAACTTATTCCACACCACGATGCACTATGGCATGATGCTGCTGCGACGCCGGTCGATAATTCCTTGACACACGCGACGCTACTTATGGCCAACGGATGTAATGCGCGTCCCTTTGATGGCGACGAAAATAAATGAATGGCTGAGGAGGAGGAGCAGGAGGCGATAATATCTATGGCCGACGAATGCCATGCGCGTCCGCTCCTGATGGAGACCAAATTTAAATGAATGATGAGGAGGAAAAGGAGGATGCGCATACGATGCGATGATATCTATGGCCAACGAAGATGCGCGTTTGCTCCTGATGGAGAACTCGACACAAGGCGGAGGCAGGCTGAAGCCTCAACAGGAAAAACAAGTAGAGTTTACTCTGATTTATTCAGCTCGGATGACACATGGGAGGGAGGAGAAACAAATTACTTCCTATCAACTGAACCTCCCTCGAAAGTCCACCCTGCGAGGACCTTGATGTCTCTCCCTCACGGTCCTTAGTACTGCTGAACCCTGGGTACATGCTAGGCAAGGGGAGCAAGGTACAGACCTAGACCTTGATGTCTCCCCCTCTCACTCTCCACGCCTCATCTCATGGAGACTTTTGAGTCGACTCCAGAGTCACCTTAGCCTCTCTCCCTCTCTTTCTCCACGCCTCGTGTCATGGATTCCTGCCGTCGTCTCGAGCGACTGCCATGATGTCGGGCGACTTACAACGTGATTTCGCGAAAACTCGGTCCCTCTACCGACGGCGCACACGCGCTCGTCGTGTTCGCCTGAGAATCGATCTGCTCCGTGCAACATCCGTCCCACTAACGTTGACGTAACTGACGGAATCAACGGAACTGTTGCGAGCGCAAATGGTCTGGCGAGCGACGGATTCACCGGTCCGTCGACGACGAACAGCGTGGCCATCGAAAGCCGCGTGGCTATCGAAAGCCGCGAGGCCATAATGTCCAAATGGAACTTCCCCGAGCACAGCCGCTGGTTTGGCGAGCAACGGATTCACCAGTCCGTCCGTCCGTTGACGACGAACGGCGTCGCCATCGAAAACGGCGAGGCCATCGTTAACCTCGCGGTGCGAGCAGGACGTCTCGGAAAAGAGCCGTTTAGAATGATCGCGAGTCGTTAGCGAGCCGCTATGGATTTTTTACACCGGTAAAAGGCTTTTCAGTACACGTGTAACGTTTCAGAACAGAAGCCGTTAGCGAAGCGAGCCGCTAGTAGGGAGCCGTTGAGGATAACGAGCGGGTGGTTGGGAGGAACGGCCCGATTCGATGCCGACACGCGGGTTGATGGTTGAAGAAAGGGGTTCATCCCGCGAAGAACTCGTGACTCGAGGACGGAAGAGGAGGAGCATCATGGATAATATGACACCATTCCATATCAACACGCGACATCCATGAGCTGGATGTCGAACTAATGCGACAAGAATTGGAAGCTGAAGTTTCACCACACCGTCTACAGGTGAGCGGCGCAATTTCGCCAGCTGGTTGGCGTGCTGTCGCCATTGATTCAGGTGAAACGATTTTGAAGCCGTGACATACGGCAGCTGAATTCCAACAAATTCAGTTGGGACTGACTGAAACTGGAGGGGGAGTTAGCCTGACTCGCGTGCTCAATTAACTTCAAGATATCCGCGTTATTGGGCATCGGCGTGCTGTCAGGCTTTCCGCCGAACCATCTGCACGACTGAGAGTGCGATACGCGTATTGGATACTGAGTACATACATAGAAATTGACATACTGCATATTGATCATACATAGAAATTGACTTGGGTTCCACCCGCAAGATGTGCCTCAGGCAGAGAGCATAGCTTGGGAGACCTGGAATGGAGTATCGTGTGGAATGAACCCATCGGGTGTGGAGCGGGCTCACTGAAGTATGACCACCATCGAATCTCACCATCAGGTGGTTTTGTTAGAAGGCTAGCTTAGCTAGGAAGCTAGGAAAGGCATGAGGTTCAGCTAGGAGGAGCCATGGAGTGGCGTGAGGTTTAGGAAGGAGAAAAGTTGAGGAGAGAAAAGAGAGTTGGAATAGAAAGAGAGAGGCATACAAGGAGGGGATTGTACCCTCTACAGTAAAGTTCGGTAACCCACCAAGCCTAACAATTATATAACTCAATATATAATTTAACACACCCCCTAGGCTTGGTAGTCATAAGCCCACACACACCCCCACACCCCCTAACCTAGCACCCCCATTCCAGCCACAGTGACAGCGACATTAGCTCGGTCGACCCCTCGGCGCGTGAGGTGGCGACGTCGACCGTGAAATAACTTGTCCAATGTTGTAGAAGACTAACTATAAAACTGCAAACACGAACACTTGGAAATCCTCAAGTGTTGGTCCAGGATCTTTACTGGAATTGTAGACTAGTAAGACAGCGGAAGTCTTGTAAGAATGAACCTGAGTACATGTTTCTGGAGAAGTTTAAGTCTCTAAGTTCTCAAAGTTGAAATCTCAAGGTTAATCATGAAAAGAACACAACAAAGATTTATAGCTCTAGAAAAGTACCTATTCGCTAATGTACCTGTTCGTCACTATCGCGCTATGCGCTCTAAACTATAATGAAGAGGCGCGACTGTTCGCGTGACTGAAACGACTGTCCTATGACGAGCGCTATTTGCTGACGTCATCCTACGGACTTATGTTTTACAGTAGGATTCGACACTATCTACACCTAATCGACTTACAGAAATGCTAAGTATCAATTATATCACAACACTCCCCTTCATTTCTGGAAGTTCGATAGTGTCATTTCTTGACGATCCCGCAAAGCTTGTTACAGTACTGGAACTTCTGTCGTGTCAGCTTCTTCGTGAGGAAATCGGCAGCCATTTCGTTGGTCAAACCGTAGACCAATCGCATTCTCCCCTTCTCGAATTCATCCTTGACGAAAAAGTAACGCAGAGAAATATATTTCGTCCTGTTGACGAAGCCAGGCTGGTGCGCGATGCGAATTGCACTTTGGTTGTCGCACTGCAGGGTAAACTGGGTAGTCGTTGTCAATTTCGCTTCTTCCAATAGTTCTGTAAGTCAAGTCCTTCACGTGTTGCTGTGCAGACAGCGATGAACTCAGCTTCAGCAGAGGAGAGAGCAATCAACTCCTGCTTCGTCGAATTCCAAGAAATAGGTCCGACAGGTTCAAGCAGGTAGATGAACCTAGTGCGCGACCGTCGATTAGTAGAGTCAGCAGCGTGATCGGCGTCGACGAAACCGTGTAAGTATAGTGTTTTACAACCGATGACGTTGTAGACTAAACCGACATCAGGAGTCGAGATGGAATATTGAAGCGCGCGAAGAAGATCAAGGTGGTGCTCCTCTTCAGGACGGCGTAGGAACTGAGCGAGCTGACTAGCCACGTAGGCCAGATCTGGACGACAAGTAACAGTGGCGAAGAGTAAACAGCCTAACTTTTGTTGATAGGTCTGTAAACCAGTTGAACTTAACAGTGCAGTGTTCGGTTTGTGGTCAGTCGGTAGTGAGCGGTACGTTCTAGAGACTGCAGTAGGAGTGAGATTGAAGCGGGCAGCGAGTGTTGCTGCGTACTTCGAAGCAGTGAGGTGAATCGTTGTTGGTGAACAGGTAATATTTAGACCGAGAAACTGTGAAACTGTTTCTGTGACGGTAAGCTGTAGGTTTTTCTGTAGTTTTAGTATGAAGATATCGGCGAGCGAATCAGTAATGCTGACGTAGAGAATGTCGCCGATGTAGGCCATGAGTAAAATATAGGTACTGCCGTCGGTTGGAAGATACATTCCCTGGTCATGCGGTAACTGACGAAATCCGGCAGTGATCAGCTGTGAGTGGAGATGCTGCTGCTAGAGCCGTAGTGCCTGTTTAATGCCGTACAGCGATTTTCGGAGACGACATACGCTCGGTGGGTTAGTAGTATAGGAATGCGGGTACTCTACCAGGATGAGTGCGTCGACGGGCGCGTAGAGAAATGCATTTGACATGTCGATTTGTCGAAGTCGTAGATTACGGCAGGCGGCGATACAGAGTAGAATTCGAACGCTTGTATGTCGACCGACAGGAGCAAAAGTTAGCTCGTAGTCGATGTCGTAAGTCTGCTCGAACCCGCGGGCGACCCATCGCGCCTTGAATTTCTCAAACGACCCATCTGCATTAGTTTTGACGCGGAAGACCCATTTTCCGGTAAGTACCTTCTTCCCTTTTACTTCTGAAGTCGGTACTAAATCCCATGTGCCACGATTCTTAAGAGCTGCGAGCTCCTTGTCCATGGCTTCGCGCCATTTTTCTCGGTGAGGGCTCGTAAGAGCTTGTCGAACGGTTTTCGGTTCAAGTATCTTACTGTCGTTGTACTGTACTGCTACTGCAAATCGAAGTATCTGTAAGCCAGTTTCTGTAAAACGCGGACGTTCTTCGTTAGCACCTGCGAATTTTTCTTCTGGTCCTTCTTCCCCCCCAATTTCGTCAGGTGTAACACGAACTGCTTCGTCGGAGACGGTGGGCATTGGTTGCTGTTGACGATCACGTTCGTAACTGAGGTGGACTTCGCGAACGTCATCTTGGTTAGCATCTGCAAGAGGAATAAACTCTGGTATGCCAGTCGAGGTTACAGGTTCGGGAATGTCAGTTGCAGCAGCTTCGGACGCTTCAGAAACTGGTTTGTCCTGTACATCAGCTTCGGCTTCGTCAGTTGCAAATGCACGCGAGCCTTCGAACAGCCTGGCGGGGTTGGCAGCTGCTGCCTAGTGGGCACAAAAAACGGGCAAGGTGAGTCTTTCATAGAAGAGGCAATCACGTGATGGGACGATTTGGTTGGAGCGAAGATCCAAAATCTTCCAGGCGTGATACTGTTTTTCGATGCCAAGATGTACCCCCCATTTTGCTCGTTCCGAAAACTTCCCGAGTGCTGCAGTAGGAGGACGAAACTGCACGACACACCCGAAAACTCGTAAAAGTTTGGTACTTCCCACTGTTCGTGTCCACTGCAGGTGTGGAGAAGAGAACTCGGGCAGGGATGTTGAAGACAGAAGGTTGTGTAACAGCACTGCGTGGTTCATCGCATACGGCCAAAAACGAGGAGGAAGAGCTGCCTGCGTCAGCAGCGCACGCATCTTCTCCTGCAGTGTTCGGTTCATCCGTTCTGCTACCCCCATCTGCTGATGTGCATGCGGCAGTGACTGCTTTCGTTTGATGCCGAGTGTCTGAAGGTATTCGGTGAAAGTGTTGCTGGTGTACTCCCCTGCACCATCACTATGAAATTCTTGCAGTTTCACGCCTGACTCTCGTTCAGCGACAGCGAGCCATTCGACGAAGACAGAGTGAGCTAGATAACGAGCGGGAAGATTTGCTGTCCAGACGTAGCATGTAGAGGCTTCGATGAAGGTTATCACGTACTACTCCTCTTTAGGTCCTGCTTCAGGTAAATTTAGTATGTCACTGTAGACTTTCTGCATCAGTTTATAACGTGTTGAGCCAGGAAAATGACTTGGATATGGATCGTGGGTTAGATTGGCGACCGGGCACGTGGTGCAAACCGTCGGACGAGACTGCGGAGCACATATGCCAACCGCAGCAGCTGTCGAGATACCAAGTATTCGGACCTGAAATTATTCGAGCAAGGTTAGCGTAAACTTGAGGTAAGGGAATGCCTTCTGCACTGGTGGTTTCTTCAAGTCGTGTCTCGAAATCGGCTTCAGAAGTATCAACTGTGGTAACACATCCAAAAACCCATTTTCCTGATATGGCAGATGCGAAAACCGGCGGGCGATTCTGCGACGTCGATGAATTATGTGGTGGTTTCGACATCTGCTGCTGCTGAGACGGTAACTGCTGCGGTGGCTGTTGTGGCTTCGTTAACTGCTCCGATCGGTGATATGGCTGAGAAGTGCTGCGACGATTTTGATGATGGTTGCGACAGTTTTGGTAAGTATGTCATGGTTTCTTACAAAAATGACAAAATGGATATTTTGGAGGATGTCGGTGCTGTGGCTCTAGATTGGAGAAAAAACTTAAATGAACCCCTTTCTTCTGATTGCGTTTTGACTGCAGGTCAAGATCTTGCTGCTGTGCTTGAAGATATGAAGAGATTTCGGCTTCGGAAAGGTTCGGGTTCATTCGCAGGAAGGCGCGTGTCTGTCGCCATTCGGGTCCAAGACCAGCAAGAAGAACCGTGAGATACATCTCGCGAGGGAAGTATCCTCCACTCTTCTTTAGTTGATCTCGTAGTGTACGGACACGATTAACGTAGTCCATGACGTTTTCGTTTGTCATCATCTGCACACTTGTCAGCTGTGAAAGTATTTTACTCACTGTTATTGTATCCTTTGCCATGTATACCCCCTTCAGATGGTTCCAAGCAGTTTCGGCTGGTGTAAAGCTTGAGTGAAATGATCGGACGCCGAGCTGCTCCTTCGGCGACAAGTTCCGAACGAGAACTGTATAAGCCTCGAGAGAGGCGTGCAAAAAACTCTGTTGCTCCAGTTGTGTTCCCACGACAGGATACGTGTACTCGCCGGTGAAGAACGGCCATAGTCCAGCGGACT